TATGCCACGCGCATCCCATAAAACCGACGCCATTATTCTTTTGTCTCGGGTGTGAAGTGGTGGACCCATGTTTCATCCATGGTTATGAAACGACGCAAAAATTCTGCTTTGTTGCTGTGAAAGTTCGCTAAACGCTCAATTGAAACATCTTCACGACACTGTTTTTGCTCGATTGTGAGCAATCGCGGCACCCATCTTGCACACATCTTTCTCATGTGCAAATTTTCAGATAATATGCGATGAACCGCACTTTTTGAAATGCCTACTATGTCTGCTAGCTCGCGCACTTTCAGTCGACGATCATTCAGTACCGCTTTGTGAATTTTCTTCACCATTTCTGGAGGTCTTTGGTCGACCACTGCGATGCTCGTCTTGGCAGTTCATACGGCCTCGTTTAAACTCTGCTACGCAATATTTTACTGTTGTAAACGAAGGAGCAGACTCATCCAGAGTAGAATCCAGTTCAGCTTTTATATTGGTTGGGCTGAGGCCTTTAAAATAAAAGTATTGTACCACATGACGATGACCAATTTTCTCCATTTTCACAAATTCACTGAAAACGTTCAGTATTGATGGCTGCCAAACAAACACTAAACAACGTGGCGTCTTCAAACTTGACACATATGCTTTATAGGTTGCATACTTTCTAATACAATGATATTTATCAAACAACTACTGCCATCTCTAGGTCAGGCCGGGTACTTCTGGAACCACCCTCGTACTTCCTACGCCTACTAGCGAGGAACTATTGTAATCGCGGGAAATTTCGAAAATGATGTACAATGTTTTTTGGATGTCATATAACGGGACATAAAAGGTAGTGAACCGCCTGGTGAGGCGATTTGTACATACGAGGTGGGCGCGATGTTATTATATACACGAACATTCTGACTGGAGTATAATTTATTAAGCTTTCTTAATTTCATAGGGTAATATTATATACAGGGTGTCGCATCGGGAACTTCATGGATAGATTTCTCGAAAAGTAGGCATATGATATTTTTTTAAATTTGGGAGTATTCTAATGTCGAAGGGGCAACGGCAGCTAAAATGTTTTCAAGATGGTGGCACTTCCGATTGTACAGGAAGTTGATGCCAATTGACACCTTGTATATTACTCAATATCCGGATTCTACATAGAATTCTAATCACAGTTCATGTATAATCTCCTATAAACAAGTCTGACCGTTTTCGACATACATATTTCAAATTTTATGTCAAAAATGGCGTTTGCAGGCCATAAAATAATTGTTCATTTCCCCTATGTAGAACACGCTATTGTTTAATGTGGATTGATTTTCTGGTAAACAGGGAATAGTTTAATAGACTTCGATAGTTATTTATACAGGGTGGTCAAAAAATTAGTATAAAAATTGGATGTCGAAAATTGACAAAAGTCGATTTTTTTAAACGAAAACCCCCTATTTTTATAAGTTTATCGCATCAATCATTAAAAATTAGCGTAACTTTATACAGGAATATCTATCCCAAAAAATTTTACTTTTTGAGTAATTTGCAATTTATTACTTTTCTATTGTAAAACTCGTACAAGTACATATTTAGTTTTTTAATTAGTTGGCTATGATAGCGGGACGCCGAGAACAAAACAATTGCGCTCTACAAAAACGTCACTTTATAATAATGTCCTGCATTTTACAGTTCATTTATAAATTATTAATAATAATCATACCCGCGCGTTTAAATTTCACTTACGAAGACTATTTCAATTGATTTATTATTTATGGTAAAACACCAGAGTGATATCAATAACATGTGATGTGTTTGCTCATAGATATCCAGAAAAAAGAAGACCAGATGCACATACGGCTAAACTAGCAATAGAAAATTTCTAAAATTTCGGGTGTGTGCAGCCTAAGATTCAAAGAAATAAACCTTCAGTTAACGATAAAGCCATTGAAATAGCACTATTGGTGTATTTTTACGCTTTTCCAATGATGTCTTTACGACAAGCTGCACGAGAGTAAGGTTTTACGAAAGATACCATTAGCAGAATTTTGTACAAACACAATTTTTATCGATACAAGCTATCATTAGTACAACAATTAGAAGAAACCGATTGTTTTAAAAGAATTCAATTTTGCGAATTGATTATTAGGTATCAACAAAATGATTCTTTCCTGAAAAATATTATATGGATGAAGCAGAATGTACCAAAAATGGCCTTTTCAATCGACACAATTCTCATTCTGGGCTAATGAGAAACTTCATGTAATAAGATAAAGAAACTTTCAAGACAATTGACAATTCAATGTACTCCTATACTGAGCTGACAGAGGTAATCAAGTTTTGTTTTCTGAAGAAAATATAAGGGGTAAAACAGCAATTAACAGTGTTTTTTTATAAAAGAAACTGATAACAATGTGCAAATCCCAGTAGTATAAGTTTTTTACCACATAAGGTCAGCATTGCCAACATTAGTACTAATTTATCTCATTTAAAAATAGTTGGATATTAAAGAAAACGTTATGTTGCAGTTATAAAAAATATTTTTATTGATACTTAATAATATTTTTAGGTGAATGTTATTTGAACATTCTTCGAAATTTAGAAAACAATTATTTGGATAATATACCACTTGCTGATCATCGGAAAGTAATCTATCAACTTGACGGTGCCTCACCTCACAACGGATACGTAATAAACAATTTCTTAGAAGCTACGTTTTACGACCAATGGTTTGCTAATAAGGGACCATTCTGGTGGCCGCCCCGTACGCCAGGTCTTACAGTCTTGGACTACTTTATGTGGGGGACAATAACAAATATTGTTTACCAGAACCCACTGACCACTCTATGTTAGATGACTGTAAGCAGAGAGTAAGAAATGCATTTACTAGTTTGGGTCCGGAAATCATAAGAACTGCCACTCATCAGGAGTTAATACGTAGATGTTATAAATGTTTGGAAGTTAGGGGTGGTTATTTTGAACATTTACCAAAATAAGTTCTTTCTTGTTATGTTTTAATTTTGTTTTATAAGAGTATGAAAGTTAAATATAAATCGAAATGGCTTATTGTTTCCTGCTATTCATTTCACTGTATGTGTGCTACTAGCAACCTTATCATAATTAGTCTTCATATTATTCTAATTACGAATACATGAAAATTATTAATTATATTATTATTAGGAGCTTAAAATTAGACGTAGTGATATTTCTGTAGTGCTCAAAACTATATCTGTACTTATAGGAATTTGACAATAGAAAAGTAATAAATTGCAAATTACTCGAAAAGTAACATTTTTGAGATAAATAATTCTGTATAAAGTTACGCTAATTATTGATGCTTGATGCGATAAACTTATGAAAATAGGGGGCTTTCGTTTGAAAAAAGCGACTTTTACACTCAATTTTTATACTAATTTTTTGATCACCCTGTATAAATCATTATGCAAATATCATACAAAGTCTATTAAACTATATCCCTGTTTACCAGAAAATCAATCCACATTAAACAGTGAGGTGTTCTACATGGGGGCAATGAACAATTATTTTTGTCATAAAATTTGAAATGTGAAAAACGATTAGACTTGGGTATAGGAGATTACACGTGAATTTTATGTAGAATCGGAATATTGAGTAAAATAAACTTAAAATAAGCAAGTTGGCATCAACTTCCGGGATAACCGGAAGTGCCACCATTTTGAAAATATTTTAGCTGCCTTTGCTACATCGACAATAGTATATTCCCAAATTTTCAAAAATATCATATGCGTACTTTTCGAGAAATCTATCGATGAATTTCCCGATGCAAAACCCTGTATAGTATAGCATATAGTGTATAAGTATGTATCAAGAGCTACTTTAATCAGTTATCAAACATTGTTGACAAACACTGTTACACCAGAGCTCCAAAGAAATGAGGCCACCATGTGCTCCAAGCTAATCCGTAAACCTTTTTTCATGAAAAGCCATAATAGTGGACTAATATTTCTGACAAAACATACGTCTTTTTGATTCCATTGCACTAAATGAATCTTTTTACTAGAATTTGTAGTCAAGGAATGATAAGTATAGAGCCAATCTTCTTGTACGCCATTTTTTACAAGTCTTTATTCAAATTGAGATTTTAGTTTGTTAGTACCTATGTGTGGAATAAATCTTGAATCTGAATTTTGATCCAGTTAATCTTGACTAATTCAAATTTCATGTAGTCGTCTGGTTTTCGTAACAATACACAATGAATTGAATGCCGCCATTTTGAATCCAAAATGGCAACTTATTACAGTACCACATTAACTCCTTATGATATTGGTATTGAATTAAAGGCTTGACGAGCGAAGCACAATAAGTAAATCGACGTTATTGTCAATCCACTATGACAGACATCTAGTGTAACAATACTATTAAGACGTGGAGCTGATCTGATGATGAAGCAACGAGTCGGCCATGGGTGCCCAACTATGCCCTCCTAGCCTCTGATGGATAAGTCAATCGACTATTATGAAAAATAAATACTCATCTACAATAATCATATCCAACTTCAGCTTTTTAACATTGAGTAAAGAATACATATAGATATAAGCACGACTCCCTAACTTACGCAACATTAATATGGGCCGAAGTCTTATTAAAGAAATAGTAATATTTATTTACTCTAAAATACATGGAACATGAAACGAGTAAATAAATATAATTTATCCATAGAAGGACAATGCCTGTGCTTGGATCATATGTATGTTGAATTGCAAAAGATGAAAAAAATAATAGAGAGAGAGAGAGAGAGAAAAAAGATAATTATTTGTAGGAATGATAGCATTTACTCTGTAATACTTGAGATTATTCTATTAATGTTATTTCTCCCAATCGTGTTGATAATTTTTTTTTAATTTCAATGTATTCCGTAATTGTTTTAAATTATTTGGTAAATGTTCAAACAATTTTAGTTAGAAGTTTTATAATTTCCCATTAATAGAATATGTATGAAGCAGGTAGAAATTACTAAACTAGTTATTTGGCATTATAAGCACTAAGAAGTTGAAAACAGATGAAAGATAAAATACTTTTTAAAAATAAGTTACTATTGATAAAGCGAATTTAAATTTAAAAGGTATCTGTTCCCCTAGAGACTATGCCGTTTTATACTTTTTAACCACTAAACGATAATAAAGCTCATTTGACTCTAATTTACTCTAATCTAATAGGCGCTTGTTACATTTAACAGCAAAAGAGAAAATGGATGTAACTACTTCTACAGAATAATCTTATTTTCAGATCCAAACTGTGATAGGCTTCAGTCAACGAAAATCAGATCTAATTCAAACCTACTCAACGTCAAACCGAAGCGAAAATGTAGGGACCTCAAATAACAACTCTCAACATAGCCATGAGATTCGTTCAGATGATCCAGCACATTCTGGTTCAGTGAAGGTTCGCAGCCATAATGATGGAGGTCAGTTTGACAGCAAAGTGGTAAGCACGCTAAAAAAGTGGACTTGGACATTTAGTAACTTCTTGGAGTCTTGTTTCACACATTTTTTCGTAAAAGAAAGACATTTTCATTGTCTAAGATGGTTTTCAGTCTAACACGTGAAGCTTTTATTACAAGATACTCCTTCTCTCAAACAGGATACATCTCTATATACAGTGATTTTTAAAAATGTATCCCCTCACACTTATTTTTGAACGGGTCAAGCAGTGATGGGCGTTTACGCGTATACATTGGTTATCTACGTTTCGTTGTAGCCATTGCGTATACAATGTGCATTAGCACTAAACAGCTCAGTCTGCGGTTGGTCATGGCTACAGAGAAAAAATGCAAGCTGTTTATTTCGATCATGTCTATTCATGCATGTATGCATAGCAAGTCATTGCTGCTCTGCTGCTCTATGAATACTTGGTATTCCGGCTGCTAGATTGTTTTGGTGATGCGATACGCAGAACGTCGAGCAGATATGAGCCGGAAGCGTAGGGATCTTCCGTAATCTTTCATCGTATGCGATGGTGATGAAGATCAACTTGTTAAGCCATTGGCTAGTGGAGATCGTCAGATGTTTTGCCTACCCCCGCCACTAGTCTTCATATTATAAATATCGAATATATCATATGGTTGTTCTCCTCAAGCCGTACAAGCAGTATGTATGACATTTAAAATCATCATTTTGCATTGTATTGTATATTTATCTTAGAAGTTATAAATTTGTAATTTCAGAAACAAAATGATTTTCTATATTCAGATGAGCACATTCCTGTACATAGCAGGCAAAAATATATTCACAGAAGTGAGAGAGATAGGGATACGTCAAATTCCAGCTCTAGTGAAGAAGGCTTTGGAAAAAATGAAGGTAGATAGTATCTTGTTTCAAAATACAGGAAAGTCAACATATTTGCAAAAGTTCTTCTGTCACCCTTTGTATGAAAGAAAATACCATCCATTATAGTGCAATACTTTTTAACCTACTTTAGCTTAACCCACGTAACTACAAAAAAAGCAAAACTGTAATTCCCTTCATATATAGGTATAAGTTTTTTACAGCGGTTAACTTCGTCCCAAGAGACCAAGTGAGCGCGTCATTCATTCAGAACGCTTCAAACGACACCAGACAAAATAAAAGTTCAATTGAACAAAGTCGTTATGATTATAAATGCACTGTTTGTTTATTCTCCTACAAAACCGATTAATACCAAATTATGTAGTTATAACCATTGTTTTTTACGCGGTATTGAGTATCGCCAATATTATGTTTTTCATAACCTCAGTAACCTCTCTTGGAGTAACTGTCTCATTTTGGATTACTGAAATGCTTTAAATGCCGTTTAAATGACCGCAACTGTACGTATTTTGGTGCAATCAGGTATTATGGTACGAATTCCAGTATGACAGTGAAAAAGCTCTAAATTGTCGTGGTGTCGAATTTGAGTAAAAAATTAACTATCCAGTGGCCACTTGTGAATCCCAGCAGAAAACTGAAATCACACCAGAAATCTAACAGATTTATCTACGAATTTTTGATTTTTTTGTTGTACGTTTTTTAATAATTACAATTCTTGCCCATAACGGACTATAGTTCTTTCCACAGTTTTTGGCGGATACATCACAATGTCATATGAAGTAATAAAACACATTAGCTAATGTTACCACCTGTGTAGCTTAGCTTTCGTAAACTGCACACTGCGCAAGCCGATCCGTGACGCAGCTGCTTACTATTCGTCATTATTCGTCAGAGCGGTCCGGTGGACCTTTGCTCTTAGTTAAAAGGCTCGTCGGTCTGTTAGTCTGTCAGGTCTGGATACCCAGATATCAAACATGTTTAAGGGGAAAAGGGAACGAAGAAAGGAAGGAAGAAATAGAGCAAAGAAAAGAAGTAGATCATTTGAAATAGCTTAAGCATTATTGCTTTGACTAGTCGAATTACCTTGTAACTCTAAAAAATAATTTTGATCGGTTTTGTATACTGAAATAATTTTGGCTGGTCTGAATTTACAATTTAATTTTGATCACAGTGCGAGGCGCGGCCCGGAATGTTTGCGAACTTGCTCGACTGTGTAGTCTACTGAATCACGCAGCAGAGGGTTGCTGTGCGAATCCGCTTGATTATAACGCCGCTGCGCTTGTTGTTTTACATAATCCCTTAGATATGGAATATCAAGATCTCTGTGAATGGTCTCATTTGACACGTACCAAGGGGCGTTAGTAATTATGCGTAGGGTTCTGTTTTGCAGGACTTGCAGTCTCTGCATGTGCGTCTTAGCAACAAAACACCAAGCCGCGCATGCGTAGGTGATTGCGGGTCTTATAACCATTTTATACAACTGAATCTTGTCGATCAAACTTAATTTTGAATTTCTGCACAACAAAGGATAAAGCTGCCGAAACGTAATTTGGAATTTTGTTTTCAAAATATCAGTATGTTTCTGCCAGGTCAACTCCTTTTCAATGATGACTCCAAGATACCTGACAGATTGCTCCCATGGTATACGAGTTCTATTCACTAATATCTCTGAGGGGGCACCGCAACGTTTTTTAGTACAGTAGATTTCCTGCTTTTCGAAGTATTAATTTTGACAAACTACCGATCGGCCCACTCCTATACTTCCTCCACTGCACTCTACAGCCTGCACTGAACCAGGTTACCAGAACAAGACTGGGCTAGCAATGCAGTGTCGTCAGCACAGAGATAGATTTCACAGTTGCTGGGGCAAGGCACGTCATGTATATAAAGTGAATAAAGGATTGGACCTAAGACCAAACCCTGAGGAACACCAGCTCTTACGGGCCGTGTTGTTGACAACGCATTGTTAATTTTGATCCGAAACTTCCTTCCTTCTAGAAAAGATTTCAACAGTTTTAGTAGCCAAAATGGAAAACCCTTTTGGATGAGCTTATACGAGAGGCCCATGTGCTACACCTTGTCAAATGCCATTGATACATCTAAAAGCAAGATACCAGTACTTTTGTTCAGGGTGAACCCCCTGGTTACATGCTCCACCAGTGTAACCACCTCAAGGTGACTATAAATCACCTTTTCAGCGAGCTTAGAAGGAGCTGAAGGCAGACTAATGGGTCGGTAATCCTGAGGGAATATCGAACCTGCCTTCTTTGGGATCATGGTGACTTCAGCGACCTTCCACGCCTTAGGAAAGTAATGAGTTCTGAGCATTGCATTGATTATTATTACTATTGCCACTAGATAAGTCAAAGCCTTGAGCTAAAGGAACTTCAGTGCTTTGTTGGTGATTTGTTCCTCTCCAGGTGCTATACGCACCTTTAGGTCCTTAATGTTTAAAATTTTTTCCAATCTACCAAATGAAATTAAAAACATAAACAGTTTACATGAATTTAAAAAGACTATTAAGCAATTTCTAGTACAGTCAGAGCCTTATACAATAGATGAGTTCTATGGGAGTTGTAATAGTAAAAGATAGTAGCTGGTTTAAGATAAATGACCACGTTACACAAAAAAAGGTCTCAGGTAAACTACTATAGTTATGGTGACAGTGACGCAACATTTCATTTTGTAGTGGCTATACAATTTTGGTAATGTCATTGTACAATTTGGAATATAGATTACTATTATTATTATTGTTATTATTAATGTGGCCTTGGAGCTCTGGTGGTGTGCAAAACGGAATCTCAGAAGATTCCGTTGATGTGCTATGCTGAGATTATGCGCGTTCTATCTTAATGCCTAAGCTTATAAAGGTGTAGTTTAGATTTCGTCACTTGGCCGCATCACGCAAAACAATGGGCGTGATTCGCTCCTGGCGGGGTGCTGTGCTGGTCAACTCACCAGCAACGTGAGATTATTGAGATAATGCACCGGCAGTAAATGCAGTGGCCAAAGATTGAGAAGATGTGGTCGCTGCATGGACCGTCATAGGACAAGTAGCAGAAGAAGTTGATACGTTTAATGAAGCAGGCGGTTTTGAGGGAACTGTCAACTTGAATTTGGATTTTGCTTTTGGAAGAGGTGGGAAGTCATCCGTCTTGTCGGTTTTGTTCGTTTTGTCGATCCGTCTTTTCCTAGACTTGGCCTGGACGAATCCGTCATTCTGTATTTCATCGTCGGTCGATGTCACGTCAGCTAAATTTTCAAGAGGTCTTTTTAAATTGACAGCCTTGTCAGATTTAGAATTGAAATTTGGATTATTGATTAACTGTGTTACCTGGGTGGTCAGGCAGTCTATTTTACTGTTTTGGTCCCTAACTGTCTCAGTCAGTCCCCTAATTTGCTGGGCCTGGCTTTCGATGATCAGGGTCAGGCGCTGGATAGTTTTGTCCTTTTCGTCTGCTACCGCTGGTGTCATCAATTCCTTTGATTTCATGGTAATTAATATACTGTCTTTCTGGCTGGGTCCATTCATCATCGGGGACGCTGGGGGATCATTACTTTGACCTCCATAGTCTATCTCCATGTTCTTAAATCGGATTTTCGATTGAAAAACTAGAAAACTTTTACGAGAAAAAATATGACGTATTGTCAATTATCCCTTATACAGGGCGATTCAACGCAGCTGCTACTCGGGTTTGTACATACACATGAACTGTATGATAGAGGACCATAGCTTTCATTTTCGCTCACTTTCTGGAAATGCTTCTAACACAAAATGTCAACATGTTGTATGTTCAGGCATTACCACGTTTTATATCGAAAATCAACATGAGTTAACATACGCCCTCAATAGGTAAGTTATCTCATAGGTTAACGAGAAAATGTTTAAACCGGTGAGACAAAACTAAAAACTTATTTCTTTAATTTACACAGACAAACGTCCGCAGATAGAAGCCGATTGCATATGTATGCGTGAGAGAGGCGGCTGTTTGAAAGTATGTAATTTCTGTAGTTCTATTGTGACCTGCCAGACACCGTGGAAAGGCCTATAGTCGAGTTTCGAACACGGCTTCATCAGCCCAAAAAGCTTATTGTAAGCGTTCCTGACTGATCTGTTTTTGACCCTTTGTGAAACATAATATAAGAAACTAACCTTCAGTTTATTTCAGCAATAGATTTTTCCCGCATGATGAGATTTCCATCATCAGAAGAACACCCTACCAAATTCATAAAGAAAAAGGAAAGACAACCTTGCCTGCACGGAATATGTGAAGATGTTGACGACTATCCTTCTGCAAAAATCGTGGAGGTTGTTAGTAGGTCGAAAGAGCTGGTAAATTTCTTCAAAAGTCAACCCAAACCGTTTGAATTTGGCACTCGGTTTGGAGAAGACAGCGATGATGATACCCCATGTCCAACTATGAAAACGAAGAAGTTCCCAAAACGGGCGCTCTCGACCAGGAATGTAGAGCAGCTGATTGTCAATGTTAATGATTTTCAGCAAGGAGTAGATTTGGAAATATGTAAAGGGTATGTTGTAGTTGTAGTTACTCTGATTCATAGTATTTGACATTCATACATTGGAGTAGGAGTAGGATCTAATTTTTATTCCGGATACCTAAGAACGTGACCACACATTTCATGTCAAACTGTTAACGCCAGAGAATAACGTTATCTTTATCACATCTAACGGAAGTAATGCTGCAGCACGTTCTAAGAATATTCGCATTAGGTGATTTAGCATATCCATTGAAAATATGTTTTAATAATGTTTTCTTCAAGATCTTCACACGTTCTAATATTATCATCATCTGATTTTCCAAAGTACCCTCAGAGAACACACATACATCCATTGGTTGTCTATTAGATATTTATGCTGGATGTCCAGGGTATTCACTTAGTGGACAGATGAGTCCAATACACGGATATGGATATCCATATGACCACCTATATCAAAAAATCTGGATATTACAATAATGATTTTATATATCCACTGAATGTTCGTGATTCGACATAAAAATATCTAATGGCTGCTTCAGATATGCCCGGATGATTATACCATAGCATAGGTACGCGAACCTGCCGAGTAAAATTTTCAAAAGGAAGTAGAACAATTGAACACCTAATAAAGCAAATTAACCATATGTTCATAAAAAATATGTATATCATGTTTATGTATTCATGGAAATTCAAGGTCTCCTTCTATTGTATTCTAAAAGTCTGTTTGTATTTTTCTTGTGCTATTCATATAGCTCCTGAGACTCTCCATCATAAGCGCAGATGCCATTTTCTTCTCACTACTAATTACTTCCAATTAAGCGATCTTTTTGGAGGTTATGATCCAGTCAACACTTCACTCAGTTGACACAATAATGTGATTAATCAAATGAATTGAGGTGAATAAATACCACGAAACTTTCACAATCAAATTAATATTGTACTTGGAGACACATACGATGCACGCTATAATTACATAACCATACGAACTTATCTCTGTAAGTGATGTTCGATCTTAATTGTGTGAAGTCCTCGTCAAAGTAAATATTTAGACTACATATCGTAGTACCCTTGTAGTAGTACCCAATCACCACGATTTCAAAGCGCGTACGCAGAGAAGGAAAGCGGCACCGCGCCCCTTCCCCCTACCTTTCTCCCCTCGGCCTCCAATAACTCTTCATTTTCTTCAAAGCCAAGTTGTTGCAACAATTCGATGATACATAGGAAGAGAGGGAGCTATTTACTTCGACGAGGACCTCACATAATTAATAGTAGTGTATAGTCGGATGTAACGAAATAAAGGACAAGCTGACACCAAGATCCCGATGTTCACCGCAAAGCTTCAGACTCTGTCTTTGTTGCTGTCCATTATTGCCCTTACTAGGTTTAGTAATGTCTGCATCGTCCGCTCAAGTAAAGTTGCTTTCTTTCTGTCACAATTTAATACTGAACCTGAAAGTGCTCAATTTTTTCTTAAGGTATTCCAGAAATGGTTTTATTAACTTTATGAACACACAAGGGGTACAATTTACCCTAAACGATACAGCATTGTATTGGAAGAGCTGTTCCTTGAATATGAATCTGAAATATATTCTATGACTCTCCCTAATGGGCACCAAAATCCCTGCTTATCTCAAATCCAGACTCGTTAAGAAAGTATCTCTACGGAGAAGTCTGATCCCAGTTCAAGACTTAACTGTTATATCCCTATAAACAGACAAAGTGTCTTGAGGTAAGGAATCAAACGTGTTGACCCATCAGACTTGGGGGCAAGCAAAAGTTGGATAGGTGGTGATTTTTAGTTAGCTCAACTTTTTCACTTATAGCAACACAGCTCAGCAATTCATAGATGGACTAATGAGATTCAGCTATGGCAAAGTGCTAAACCAGTCGCCATCTGAATGGCAAGTGATCACTTGAGTCCAACTTAGGACTTCAGCGCCACTCCTAAAGCTCTGCCATTGATGATGAATACGCGTTAATGTCCACGCTAATCTACACACCTCATCTGCAATAGTGGGTGATGGTATCAGTACGTTGTCTGGCCTTTTGGCCTTTAGTTGCTGCTCAGTTTATCTGATTTCTATTTAGAATTGACTTACTTGGTCAGACCTACACCGAAGAGTAAGATATAACTGGAAGCCTCTGTCAGATTACTCCTGAGTTCTTTGCTTTAATGTGAATATCTGCCAGCATGTACTCCTCTCCCTTCTTTGAACCTAGAGGATAGAGTATTGCCATGTAATTAACCGCTCACATGTTGTTGCTGTACACAGTCCAAGCACGCATCCCTGCGAGCGACAATTTCTATTATGGCTTTCGCTACCTCAGGGTTCACTTTAGGTGGCTAGAATAGAACAGAATTTATTCATCTATCGTCACCAACAAGATCTGCACTCTAAATGTCAGCCTTGGAACAACGCGCGAACATTAATTATCATAAGGTCACCGCATCATCGCGGTGATGCGTCATCTATTGAAACAGACTACATGGCCTTTAAGACAACACAATCCAGAGCCCTCCTCTGTTCGAGTGCTACCTATGCAAAATGTAACGTTAATCGGGCATAATGATATTTAGCTTCCGTTATTACTGAACATTAGCACTATGGAGGTTGTCTAACCGGAGATGTTCATCCGTACAGTCCTGTTCCATAGTTATCACCAGCCAGGTGGAATTTGCTATCACAAGCAAAATGTAACGCTAGTCTACCATATATGTATGTACCTAATTTCTATATGTTTTCAATGAAAAATAGTACTTCAGCTGTCTCGTAACCTGTCATGTGCATATTATTGACCTGTTCGATGGCTATTCCAAACCATAAGGAATTTGGTATCACAAGCAAAATGTAACGCTAGTCTCGCATAGATAAAACCTAATCTCTATCTGTTATTAACGAAAAATGGTACTTTAGTGGTTTCCTAAACTGTCATGTGCATTCTGACAAAGATATTCCAAGGTTATCACAAACCAAATGAAACTTGCTATCACAGGCAAAATGTAACGCTAGTCTCGCATAGATGTAGCTAAACTCTGCCTTACGTTAATGAAAAATGGTACTTCGGCTTCTTCTTAACCTCTCATGTGCATCCTTACAATATTGTTCCATAGTTATCACAAACCATATGGAATTTGCTAACCCAAGCAAAATGTACCGCTCTACTTTCACATAGATGTACCCAATTTTTATCTGTTATAAATGAAAAATGCTATATTGCTATTACAAACTAGATGGAATTTGCTATCTCAAACAAAATATAACGCTAGTCTCGCATATATGAACCTAACCTCTATTTGTTATTAATGAAAAATGGTACTTCGACGGTTTCTTAAACTGTCTTGTGCATTCTTATTATGCTGTTCCAGGGTTATCACAAACCAGATGGGATTTGCCGTCACAAGCAAAATGTAACGCTAACCTCGCATAATATACCTAATCTCTATCTGGTATTAAGGAAAAAATATATCTTAACAACTTCCTAGCCTGCCATGTTCAAACTTACAGTCCTGTTCCATGGTTATCACAAACCAGATGAAATTTGCTATCACAAGCAAATGAGAAAAGATTGTTGACCATACGTTGCTTCTACGTTGTCCCAAACGCTTTAAGTGTTGTTATTTGTGCAACGAAGTTCAGTATTGAGTCATTTTTCCAAACATCTTCATTCGTCCTTGGTCCAAGCTAGGTCCATGTTGCTATCCCAAGCAACCGAGTGTAATGTTTTAGCGTTATCCCAAACGCCTCTGTTCGTCCTAGATATGGAGTTGGCTATCACAAGCTAGGTCTAGGTTGCTATCCCAAGCAACAGTGTCAGAACGTTATCCCAAACGTCATGTTAGGTACAACTTGCAGCGCCGGTGAGGCATCCATACTAATATTCATTTAACTTGCACCTAAAACAGATCGGTTAGTTGACAGTTACCTGATGGTGACGCCTCTTCAGAAAAAGAGGTCTTCTAATTTTGGTCCGCGACGAAAGGAACCTTCAAGCGACCGTCTGTCGGTATCTCGTTCGACAATGCACATCTATCGGCCAACCGTCTGTCCTGTTTTCTAATTCTAAATGTTCAGCGGATCCTCTACACTGCACTGCACGTAAACGACGCGCGCCGATTAACGTGTTGACGGTTGGGCACGAGAACCAGGAATGAAGGTTTATAGGCGGCCAGAGGGGTGAAAGGTAGGGGGAAGGGGCACGGTGCCGCTTTCCTTCTCTGCGTGCTCGCTTTTAAATCGTGGCGGTTGGGTACTACGAGGGTACTACGATATGTATTCTAAATATTCACTTCAACGAGGACGGAACATAATAAATACGCACAAGCATGGAATGAAAGAACATGAAGTCGGTAAGCAGGTCAGTTCAGCGATGTGCCAAGAAATTCACCTCAGGGATTCGGATAGGATGTGCTTAACACGTACCAATAATGTCCCTTTTTATTACCTTATGGAATGTTACGGTCACGTTGAAGGAAGATTTTGTATCGGCATGTCCTAAAGATGAATATTCTAGCGAATATGAACATTTTCTTTCCGAATGTTCCTAAGTGCATATCCTTAGAACGTTCCTCAGAAGAATATTCGTTAAAGTGAAATGACAGTGCGTGCTGAGTACAGGCTTTATTACGTTACCTGTTTTATGATCTAATAAGTACATTCTAAGAGTGTGAATGTATAGTTTATTACCTGAAACAAAGCAGATACGTCATATTTAGTAAATTTGAATGCCAACCTTAATACAAAATACATCCTAAATTAGTACGTATCGTTTTAATTCCCCGTTAACATTTATGTTGGTAACAGTTTCCTGTGTTGTGACATTTTCGCAAAGCTTGTCAGGTAATTACGCCAATGGCTGTTGTTTATTTGTGGTTAATTTTCGTTCTTTTTGCCTCAATACTTGCATTGTTATTTTTTCAAAACTTGGATGTGTCTTTTTAAGCATTTTGCTAAAATGCGAAACCTGTCATTTCTTTGACAAAATATTTTGGGACCGAACGAGATCATGAAGCTGTATTATTGCCTTTACAGTCCGTAAAGGAGGTATTAGGTAGTAAATAGAATTTATCCTATCTCTAGCGTTTACAAAACATACGCTCCGTAATGTTGGTTGCGGTAAGGCCTCGAAGAAATAAAGTAGATTCTGTAAAACGTCCTAGGTTCTAGTAGTTTCAATTAATGTGCCAACCATGTGCGTCACTGACATTATTGGACGTTGTGACGTAACTGCTTTGATTCAGTGAATGCACTACTCATATACCCTTTCATGTTTACCAAGCTCTTACATGTTCTTCAATTTTTTCCAGTGAAGGAAGTACCTGCAAGTTCGCCGAGTTCCCTCCTCAAAGCTATACAACAGAGTGTAAGCAAAAGTACTCTAGGCGACTGTTAATGACCTTCAACGAGGGCAAGAATGACACTATCTTTGACACCTTCGAGTTCCCGTCGTGTTGTGTGTGTCATATCCGACGAAAAACATAGCCGTCGATGGACAGATAAATGAGAATCATTGAAAATTATAGGTCTTTAGCGATTTTGGCGGGTCTCTGAGAACTATCAGTATCACTCTCATATATTCATCTCCCTCACACATACACATGCAGTCCACCGTTGTCTTAAGGTGTATATGTTGACAGACTTACGTCTTCTAATTTTGTCGAACCGCCTCGATAATTTTCTCGTAGCTTATGAAATTCTACCGCCACTGTCAGTGCTACAACCTTCTTGTCATGTGATGCGAGTTGAGTTTACCTCTGATGTAGAATATATCAATAGCTGTAAGTTCAATTGGTGGACAATATAAAGGGTTTGTGCTTTTAGGTTTGTTCCAACAAGCAGTTCCGAACTAGTTCATTCTACACTATTTTTTCCGCGATGCCCCAGATAAATACAGTTAAGAACTAGTTTCAAAATATTCTGTTGGAACACGTAATTATGGGTTGTTGTCGTAAAAATAATCTTGATTGCAATAAGATTTAAAATTGTCAAGATTCCGTGTGAGACATCTGGAATTCGAGAGAATTCACTGTCTTTTGATGTACTGAAGGTACATCTTTTAGATAAAAATTGTAAAACGAGATGTCAGATTTAATAAGGGATGAGTAGTTTGAACAAATATTTTAAAGAACTCGTAAGAAATCTTGTTTTTGGAGGATTTCATAATTTTGACTTCAGAGGAAACAAGCTCTGCTCAGTAGCAGATGAGGAAATTAATTAACTTCAAAGAAATTTATGACAACTTTCAGCATTTGCCCATGTAATTCTTATTTTTGCTTCTTAGAGCTCATATATTCAGCGAAAGATCGTCATCTTCACTTGAATCTGTGGTCTTCATCGTAGCCCGGCTTTTCAATATCTGCTGTTATGAAGGGCACAATAAGCGATTTAAATTTAGCTTTAATATATGAGAAAATTTAAAACATACAAAAGGCACAAAGTGGTAGCCACAAAGACCAGCTTTTCAGGTATGAACACCTGATCGACGGCATTTATTCTATAAGCGCGCAGGTACGATCGTCTTGTTCTCTCTCAGAAAAAAAATCACGTAGAACCAGTTCATAACGGTTCGGAATCAGCAAGAAATTTGTTAGGACAGAGAACTGCCAGTTATGGAATTAGTTCCATTTTCTGTTGAAACAGTAATTTCAGTGCATGACCTGTTCAGTTCAGAAGTAGTTCGGTAGTTTGCTGGAACAAGCTTTTATTGGAGTACCTGTCTAAAGAAAGCAAATTAAATGAACGAGCGAGTGGCAGCTGCGTTTGAAGATCGTACCTGCTGAAAACGTTGGAAAGACGCTAAAAACGTTACTCGCACGCAGAGGTTAATATTTTAGAAGCATCCACTGAAGACAGAGAGTAAATAGTTTATGGCCACGAGAAGCCTAACAGTCAGCTCAATTCAAAATTAGAACCAACAAAATATTCCTAGCTTCTTTACGGTAGTTGTCTTTCACATTTATCATTTGGAAACTGCAATTGCTCTAGGATAAGTACACAAATATACCTAGTTTTATCTAAACTCTAAGGGTTCTAGCCGTTAAAAGATTTCTCTCATCCTAAAAACCTGCTTAACTCACTTACTTCATGATGTTCTGCTTCTCTACCTCCTTGGATATGAATATTGTTTAAGACAGAATCAATCGATACCTTATTTTTTAATGTCCTCACACTCACAGGATTTGTGAATTTACGAATCTTTGCGTTTCGTCTAAGGAAGAATTCTCGGTTGTCGGATCTCTACGACATTTTTTGTATATATTTTGTAATTCAACACGTGATGTAGCATTTTGTGTGATAAGCATGCGCTAATTAATGTTATTAGTGACATGTAATACAAATAAAATATATTCTGATCTCCACAAAGTGTTTTATTTACGATAACTTGATTCTAAAAATACTGTGTTCGACTGTCCAACCAATCGCCTACGCTTGTAGGCAATCATCAACACGGTCTAGGTGGAACATTAAACGGAAGCAAAGCAAAAGAAAACCTCTACCAGAGGTCTATTACAGCTAGTGAAATTAGGTATGTGGTAGCATTAAGTATCTATTAGGTGTAATGAAATTAAGTATGACAGACCACATACATGTATATTTGGAATCAGAAACAAGCGCCTATAATTTTCACTAATTACATATAGAGTGTATGTTTCTAAAAATACAACTTAGTTCGGTAGCATTGTTCTGAAACATCCTGTATAGAAAACACATGTTTCTTTCAATTCAATTCTCAGAAACTCAAACAGCTAGTGTAGTTGAACCTTATTAATATACCCATCGAATAACAGAACAACTCACTAGATTGACGTATAAACAACTCGGATGAACCATTCTGACTCATTTACATTAAATCGCACATGCAAACGACTGACACACGGCAAATCCATACATAACATAATGCTGCCGCAAAATGCTTGATAAATTTTAATGTCGTATACTAAGTTAATTGAACTGCATAGATTCACTGGAAAATGCGATTACTTATCTCAGTTTTATGATTTTGCTCGTCTCGGTGTAGTGGGTTAGCCACCAGTAATGTCAAGTCATACTTTATTGTTCAGCTATGGTATTCAACTAAAGGATTAAGCAGGTAAGTGCATCATCTTTCATTGTGGTTATTGTTATATATATATATATATATATATATATATATATATATATATATATATACAGGGTCGCCCATCCATGTGTGGACGGAATATTACTCATAAAAAATACATTTTGGAAAAATCTATGTATGGGATGTTATACATGACATTTGCGGACACATTTCTAAAATATTGGGCATTATACAGAGTGTCCCAATTTCGATCTACATATAAAAGTTGTGATTTTTCAAATGAAATGCTGCAGATTTTATTACATATTTGGATAAACTAATTCAAATGAAGAAAATTGATATAACATATTATGAGGTTTTGGTAGTTAGCTACTGAGATATAAGGTGTTTTGTCTAGAAAAACCCCACACTTCGGCGACCCCTAAGTCCGCCATTTTGAAATTTGAAGTGCTCAATTTTGTATCAAAAAAAATTACACACCTCAGCTTTTATCTTATTTGTTGCTTTTTCGGATTTTAATTTTTGCTCATATAGTGTGGTCAAAAACGCAAATTATAGCTTTTCTCAAAAATTTCAAATGCATCGCCCTGTACATTTGTACAAGTTGGGATTCAATTTTTTATAAGCTTTTTTAATACTAAACACATAAGGATTTTTACAGCTATTTTTTCAGTTTTTTATGGAACTGCTTAATTCCCTAAAATATCGCATCATTCTTGGAAAAAATAAATTGTTAATTGTTACAAACTGTCAAAATTATCTTTGTGAGCATTATAATAAAAAAGTGTTTGAAAATGGATTTTTCTAAAGAAGAAATGGTGAATATGGTGCTCGTTTTGGGCGAAACCCAAAGAAATAGAAGAAACGGTACCCTAATATGCGACATCCAAGGCCGGCAACATTTTTCAACTACGAGAACGTTTTGAATCAAGTGGAGCAGTGGAATGTAGTAAAAAATGTAATAATAATCCAAGTGTCACCAATGAGGCGAATCAGTTGGAGGTTCTATTAGAGTTGCAGGAAAATCCCTATTTAAGGGCATGGCAAATTGGAGCAGAAAGTGATATATGCAGAACTTCTGTACAATGGATTATTCACGCGAGCATAGATATCATCCATATCACCTAGGCTTGCATCAAGGCCTTCGTCCTCAGGATTTCGCAGCTCGAGTGGAGTTTAGTAGAATAATGCTAAATAAAGTGAGTGAAGACACTACTTTCCTGGATAAGGATCTTTTTAGCGATGAGGCAACTTTTAACAGCATAGGTGTTGATAACAGGCATAACATGCACCATTATGTGACAGAAAACCCTTGCTGGGTTAGGGAAATAGATTTCAAAAATAAATGGGGCTTGAATGTTTGGGAAGGAGTTATTGGCAGATAAGTTATCGGGCCTTTTTTTTCGACAACAGATGAAGAGAGACAGAGTACTTGAATTCTTTAATCGAGCATTTGCCTTTGCTTTTGTTGGATGTCAACCTGCAAACTCGGATGCCTATGTACTTCCAACATGACGGCCCACCTGCGCGTTATCATAATCGTGTGCGTAACTATTTGGACACCTGGAGTAACAGTCATTGGATCGATCGTGATGGGCCTATATCTTGGCCTCCTAGATCATCAGATATGACACGGATGGATTTCTTTCTATGGGGCTACGTTAAGCAAGAGGCTTATAGATATCCACCATCTACCCCGGAGAATATGAAGAAAAGGATTAAGGATGCTTTTCTGAACATAAGGGAACACATGCTGAGGGATGTGCAACCGTCATTTATCCAAAGACTACTGCTGTGTATTCAACATGGTGGAGATATTTTCGAGCAGGTTTTGTAGATTTGGGTCTTAAGTAGTGATAGTTGTTTATGTTGTTGTTATAGTTGCTTTTCTCTATTACGCTTGAAGCTGATTTATACTGTCCTAATTATTATTAGTTTTTACGTCAAATCTGTACTATTAGTGGCAGTATAGAACTAGTCCACTGTTTGTCTTTTGTTTCCATGGATGATCTTTTTCCTTAATTTTGGTGTGTTGTTCTATTAAAAGCTCAATAACTCAAAATCTAGTGATTTTTTCTTAATCAAACCTTGTACCAAAGAAAGGCTTATAAAAAACTGAATCCAATCTTGCACAAGTATACAGGGTGATGAATTTGATTTTTGAGAAAAAGTACAATTCGCGATTTTGACCACCCTGTATGAGCAAAAATGGAAATTCGAAAAAGTAGTATAATAAAATAAAATAAAAGCTGAGGTGTGTAAGTTTTATTTGATACAAAACTCAGCACTCCAAATTTCAAAATGACGGATTGAGGGGTTGCCGAAACGGACGGTTTTTCTGGACAAAACACCTTACATCTCAGTAGCTAATTACCAAAACCCCGTAGTATGTTATATCAATCTTCTCCTTTTGCATTGGTTTATCTAAATATGTAAAACTTTGATATGTGGTTCAAAATTGGGACACCCTGTATAGTTGCCAATATTTTATAAGTCTGCCCTCTAACGTCGTGTATAACGCGCCAGTTGTTCCTACAATCGTATAACGGGTTTATAGGCACCTTGATTTTTATAGTTTTCTACTGTTCCGTGTCAGCGCTCTATTTTGAGGTTATGTTACAAAATCTATTTGCATCAATTTGTTCATGCCTTTGATTTATATCATCTGTCATATCAGCCTGAAATTACCTGCAATTCAAAAAGAAACGTAGCCTCACAATAGGAGAGCTCTGACGCTGACACGGAACACTAGAAATCTAGAAATAACCCAGCCTGCCTGAAGGAGAGAAAAAAGACTATGAAGATCAAGAAGGCCATAAAGGCGTACTACAACTGTAAGAACGACGATACGGCCCTTTGACAAGTATCTTACGAGATACGGTTTATTGGCAAAGAAACAACTCAAATAAAGTACGCGAAGATATTCATAATGCTATGAAATTCTTCCAATATGGACCTCTGAAAATTGAAGTAGTCTATAGTTGTAGTCACCGTCCTTGACAGATTAAAGTAACACTACCGACTACCATTTTGCCTTTATATATCTCCATCTCCCTCATACATACACATACAACCTAACCCAGTGTGTGAACCTTTGTTCGGTAAGCTCAAATATACGTTTTTTAAATGTTTATCTCCGTCTCGAAAACTTTGTCGTTACCTATGAGTGCCCTTCAGTCACATTTGTCAAAGTGACTACTTAACACTTGACATCAGCGTGCAATTTAAGTTGTTCTGTTATCTCCAATATAAAATTGTGCAATGCCCGGAAATACGATCAATGGAGAAAGTCCACAGCTCGAGCTAAATTTATTAACGTATTTCCAGGAAAAGAATGAAAACAGCGGCCCCCTGTTACCCATTTCGTGCGTACTGGAGAGAGTAGCATACATATAGATCCGCCCATGACGTAACCGCCAAAAACGGTGACGACAACATATTTGCATGTCCCTTTCTTAGTAGTAGCTCATGGCATCATCCACAACCTGGAAAAGGGGATGCCAGTTGCTTTTGATTTCATTACTGTCCCCAAAAGTTCGGCAGGATGCTAGGCTAAAAAGCCTGGCCAGTCCGTCTGCAGGCTCAACGCGCATTGCAATCATGGGCGAGAGCTTTGAGTAGCAAAGCACTTAGACATAGCAGTAGAAGAGAGCCACATCGCCGACTACCCGTTGGTGTGACACTAGCCACTAGACCGTCCGTTAGCAAGTCTCGTCGGTCAGTCGGACAATCCTCCGTATGGACAGTGTAGTCTGGGTGGTAGCATTTCAAACATGGGAGCAGCACTTGAGCTTGAGGCTGAGTGTTGTGGGTAAAAGTACTTCATAGCCCTATCATATAATCCAACTCCTTCTAAGCATCACCTGCGGTTGACAAGATGTCTTTATGACAAACCAGATCGTCAGTGATCTGGACTCCGACAAGCCGAAACCAATGGCCTTCCTTCGGAAACGTAAGTATGCCAGAGCGCTTCCTGCGGGACTTCCTGTTAGTCCAGGTACAGAACTGTACTTTTTGTGTCCCTAAGCAGTGATAACTTTAAAGTCTCTCGTCACAGAGGAAGTCGCTACTAGTTTTCTTGTATACCAATCAACGACAAGGATTAGCTTGGCTCTCTGCAAACTGCGTTCATAGTGCGGGACTTAAAAGTATACTTTTTCAACTTCACAGCAGGAACTATGTTCTGCTCAAAATCGCTGTAAACTTTCAGCCCCTGAACTATGTTTCATGAGATCAGGTAGAAAATTGCTTGCAGGTATCATTGAATAATTTTACCTCAACGTAAACAACAATTAATTATGTA